TCCTTGTGCGAGACAAAGAGAACGCAGTTGCACCCCCTCTTCTCCCCTCCGCCCGTGTAGTTGACGCCGGCTGCTGCTGGCGTGGGTCGCGGTCTCTGTGGCACCCGTTACCATTCCCTTTGCCGGTCGCGCGTCCCCTTTGCGGTGGGCACGCTGCAGTCGAGCGGTTTGGTTGCGGTGCCTCCTTTCACTCTCCCGACTGTTCGTCTTCCCATGCCTCGTTAGATGCGCATGGAATTGAGAGGAACAACGTGGCCATGACGATGGCGCAATGTGCCGGTGAGTCTTTCTTCTCCCTTTCCCCTCTTTTCTCTGTTATGGTTAGGGTTTCTGTTTCTTTCTTTTGCTTTTGTTTGCCACCGAAAATCCTATGCCTACTATGGCTCTGATACCATTGATAGAACCGTCGGATCGTGTAGGCTAGAGGATTTCGGTAGTGGTGAGATGAGATGGGGATTACCTTCGCCTTGGCTTGATGAACTCCCGCCGGTGACCATGGTGAGATGGTGATGGCGGCGGTGATAGAGAGGTGTAGAGGTGGTGGTGGTGTGCGTGAGAATGTTGTGGTGGTGCTTCCCATCGGCACGTGCTAGTAACCCTGGATCGAAAGGGAATGTTGGGTGTAGTGGCGTCGCACGATCAACCTCGTGAGTTGTGCGACCAGCTCCACACCCCTTTTTATCTAGTACGGCGACAAAGGGCCCACCAACCATGGTTTGGTTGGGCATCCCCGATCAGGGCGCGATGCAAGGGGCTGGCAGGCCGTTGGGCCTGCGCAGAGGAGATCAACCTAACAAGACTAAACTTTGCACATGTCATGCAAACAAAATGATTGTTTCATATGGGTCTATACCCATAAGTCCAGTATTTTTAAAAACATGTTCAATAATACAAATAAAATTTTCATCCGCTTTGTAAAATTGTTCCGTTGCAAAAGGAAGTACAGACACATCCTTTTTACCAGACATACACATTGTTTCAGTAACATAAATGGGAAGATCGATAGATTTGATAAACCATATTATATTGTGGTATTTTATAAATTTTATAACTATATATAGAATAACATGCTCAATTACAGGTTAATAATGGTATCAATACTAAGACCAACCGCCGGTTGACCAAACCACACGCGCCGACCCAGGGCAGCAAAGATACTGCCCTCGCTAGGTTGTGAGCATATCTGTTGGAGCTTTTGTTTTTGTATCTGAAAGTAACCTCAAGGAATTGGCGTTCCGTCTCCTTAATCTCCCTCAAGAAAGTGTTGTAGAACCCCTGAAGCGGTGCTTGAGATTTTCGACGACCTGCAAATTGTGTAAGGCGACATATGTCATCAAGTTGATAGGTAGCACCAAAGCCTCCCTGCAAGCAGCAGCCTCCAGCGTCACTAGGTCGTAGTAACCTGGGAAAGTGATCGACAAGGCACCGAAGAAGATCCCAGTTTGAGACTTGCACAATATTGCACTATGGCAGCTGCTGCCCTAGGGAATGTATATGATGCACCCACTCTTGTGATGCTTACCGGTGCACGGCCATCCAAAAGTTACTTTATAAGTGCTTTAAAAAAATCTAAAAACAATTTAACATGTACAGATAAGCATAAAATATTAGAAACGATTAAAAAATCAGATTAAATTTGAACCACAACTTGAGAAACAAAACTAACAAATTCAACACTAATTTTGTTAATGAGCCAAATCTATTGCCAATCTGAAATGAGGACTATTCATAATATGATTTGACCATTTTTAGTTGTAGGTCTACTTTCAATCTGAAATGTTGTAACATAGTGGATGTATGTTTTCTGTACATGCTAAATAATTTCGAGTTTTTAAAAATATTTGTAGAGTGCATTTTAGCTGACAGATGCATCGGTGGCACCATAAGAGTGGGTGCACCGGATACTCCTCCTAGCTACTGCCCCAGCCCCGCCTCTTTTTCTTTCTTTCGCCGCGTCTATAAAACAAAGAAATACAAAAATGGAAACACGATGCCCAAGAGAACCACGCAGGCCAATGTGCACTAAACAGTTAATCACTCTCTCTCTTATTGCGAAGGTGCTGGGACATAAAACAATTACTATCGGATTCTCAAAATAAAAACAACTATTACTATCTCTCTCTGCGAAGGTGCTGGGATGTAATCTCAGGGCAGCGCTAAGTCTTGCTTATTGCGAGATCTACCCTGCTCTCGCGTCAGGTGTCTCCCTTGATGGGCTGGCCCAGGCGCGTGGGAAGCCATGGCCTGGTTTTTTCCCTCATGTTTTTGATTTTGTTTGCTCTTTCATCTTTTATTCTTGTTTATACTTTCAAATGTTCAAAATAAATATATTACAAGAAACATTTTACATAAACTTTTTTGAAAAATATGAACCAAGCATTTATAAAATGTTCAATATGTATAAAGAAAATGTTTCTAATGGGTATGAAAAATGTGTACAAAAAATATATAATGTGTGTGACAAGTTAATCATGTATGTAAAAATGTTATTCAAGCATTTAAAAAAAATGTTAAGCAAGTAATCGAAAAATGTTAATCAGTATAGAGAAAATGTTGCCCATGTATTAACAAATGTCAAACTTGTATTTGAAACAAAGTTAATCAAGAATTTGAAAATGTTAAAATGTGCATAGAAAATATGTTGACCAAGTCTTCAGAAAATATTAATATTATATTATTTTAACCAAGCACTTGAAAATGTGTATAGAAAAAAATGTTGACCATGTATTCAATATTTTAACCAAGCATTTGAAAAATGTTAAATGCGTATTAAGAAAATGTTTCTCATGTATATAAAAAATGTATACAAAAATATACAATGTGTGTGAAAACAGTTGAGCATGTACTCCCTCCGTCCCAAAATTCTTGTCTTAGATTTTTCTAGATACATAGATACATCCGTATTTAGACAAATCTTAGACAAGAATTTTGGGACGAAGGGAGTATTTAGCAAAAAATGTTAATAAAACATTTTTAAAAATGTTTAACAAATATTTGAAAGTATTAATCATGCATTTGAAAAAGTTAAATGTGTATCGATTTTTTTACCATGCATTAAAATATGTTAATTTTATATTTAAAAATGTAATCACACATTGAAAAATGTTAAAATGTGTATAAAAGATGTTGAACATGTATTAAAAAAAAGTGGTGCTCGTGTTTGAATAAAATGTTAATGAAGCATTTGAAGATTTTAAAATATTATATAAAAACTGTTGACCATGTATTAGAAAAATGCTATATTTGTATTTTAAAATTGTTAAACATGTATTAAAAATGTTCTTGACATATATGAAAAAGGTAGAAAGAAAAAGAAAAAAACAATGAAAGCCAATAAAGAAACTACAGAAAAAGAAAATCGAAGATACAAGTGCAAGAAGAATGGAAAACAGTGAAAATGATAAATAAAATAAAAATAAAAAAAGCATTGAAAACAAAGAAAGAAACCAAAAACCAAAGAAAAAAAGAAGAAGAAAGAAAGAAAATCTAGAACAAAAAATATGAAGAAAACCGATAAAAAAACAAAAAGAACCGAGGAAATAAACAACGAAACATGAAAAACAGGAAAACTAGGAAACCCCAGAAAAAATGAAAGAAAATGATAAAAAAGGGAAAGTGCGGAAAACCAATGAGGAAATCTGAGTGAACGAACAAATCCAAGCGATCAGGCGAAGCCGAGCGAGTTGCCATCGATGAAAAAAAATGGGACGACCGAATACCCACACGAGGGGAGCATGCATCTTGCTATAAGCGAGATATAGCTCCCGTGATAATTCCAGTTTGTTGTATAAAAATGTATGCGAGCATATATTAGTCAGTTATCCAAACAAACATTTCACACCAGTCACTTTTTATCAAGACCATCTAATAATCATCCAGCGGTTAGAATTAGATTGCACACCGTTCGTCTTTTCCCTCCATTTCTTCTTCCTCCATGCGGCACCAACCGACCAGGCCATCCACCTGTCTTTGGTACCACGGACGGTCGGCGCTGACGCGGACCACCTCGTCCTCCACTCAACCTCCCCCAACGTAGGTTCTGGCTACCGCCCCGACCATCTCTCTAAACCCTCACGACACCCCCTCC